TTTTTTTTTTTTTTTCAAGTCGTCTTCTCTCTTTATACGTCCCTTGCAATCTCTGATTGTCTCCTTCTCATTTCGACGCCGTAGATACCATTTCTTTTGTCGGTAAGTTCCTCTATCATTTTCTTCTTCTCCGTCAAGGTTCGACCTTTAATCTCATTGACGATAGAAAAAAGTTGTTGCCTTTTAGAGGTTTTTATTCAGGCACGAAACGTGTTCGATGAAATGTCTGAAAGAGTATTTTTTTGGATTGCTTTATCTCTTTACTTTCGTTCGTGATTTTGCAGTGTGGTTCTAATATTATTGTGAACTGGGTAGGCTTTCAAATTTTAAAATTTTTACCCAGATTCGTCTGGATCTAATGCAGATGTTTTTAGTTCTGTAATCAAAAATTTCTTGTCTTTAGAAGCTAATGATGCTAAGGAAACGGAACTTAGTTTTGGAGAATCGTTGCTTAGAGTGATCGCAGTGACATTAAAAACCTTAACTTTAAGGACCCTGTTCATTCTCATACTCTCGTAATTTCAGAAGCTACTCTATTTCAGCATCAAGTTTATGTACCTTTCTATGAGGCATTTAAGATTTTGTCTTTGGAGAGAATCCCTGGATTTTTGCTATTTAACTGTTTGTGTCTTTTTGTCAAATCTATCATACTACAATGTGTGATTTTGTTAAGTGATCTTGTTTCGTTGTGTTTCTTACTTAAAGCTGGTGTAGTGTCGAGGAAGATGGTTAGTGGTAGCCTGAAATGCCTTATATCTTCAGCAGTGGGTCGAGGTGTGACCGAAGTGAGAGCCAGGATTTTCGGACATATGCTTAACCCAACAGGACAGAGATCTCCTCATAAGATATTAAGGAAGAAGCTTTTTGGTGACAAGGTTGCAGAATGGTATCCATATGACATTAAGAATGAGGATCCCAATGTCTTGGCTAGAGAAGAACAAGAGTACGTGACTAAACATCTCTCTTTTTTTTTAGTTTACTTTCAGTATAAATTGCTTTGTTTATCATAGAAACCACTTGAAATCTTTGAGTTGGATTGAGCTGTAACATGTTACCACAAGCTTTAGTTCAACTGCAAATTGGGGTTTAGTGTAGAAAATCCTAAACATGAGAAAGAAACTCGATGTAGATTGTATATGTATTTAGATGGTTGTTGATTTGTGCAGCTTATGAATGTATTGCTCTTGTGTCTCTGGTATAAAATGCAGCAAAGTTTATGTGTTTTTATTTAAGAAGATTAGTTTATGGATCCTACTTTCTTTAAACTTCGCTTACACTTGGTTTATTCCACTGGTATGTTTTGCCATAATCTGTTGAGAGACATTTTAACTTGAATTTGTGTGTTGTTGTTGTAGGCGGATATCAAAGCTTGAGATGTTGAAGCGTCGTAACAAAGGACCCCCAAAGAAGGGTCATGGAAAACGTGCTTCAAAGCGTAACAAGTAGAAGTAACAACCATAGCTACAAGAGAACATTGCATTTTTAGAATCAGACTCTTCTTGTTGGATCAGATAGGACTTATAAGTTAAAAGTTTCTCCTGAAAACTGCATTGGTTTCCAATAATGTTAGTATGTTGAAACACAGTTCAAAAGCTATTTGCTTCCCTTTTGACTTTTGTTTCTCTTTTCTTACTCCTCTTCTTCAATCTACAGTTACTTTAACAAATTTTTTGATTTTAGCATATACTTATTAACTAGTGTTTGATCATTTTTTTGGGGTAAAAGTGATAGATTTGGTAAAGAGTTCTATTTTTCTTTTGGGGTTGAAAGTGATAACATTCATTGAATGAGTTGGTTGGTGTAACCTGTCTAGTAATATAGTCCACGTGTGTAAAATGCACAAACTCAAAACGACAGCATTTTGAAAACGCTGGCAAAAAATCTTGAATTGTTCTATGACCAAGGCACCCACCAAAAAAGCTAAAGAGATTCATCGTGTTAGCCACTGTTAGCAATGGAGGAAGCTCTAAAGATTCAATCTTTGGTCATTTATCCGATCAAATCTTGCCGTGGGATCGCTGTTCCTCAGGCAACCGTTACTCATACTGGTAAAATTTCAAGAACCATCTTCGTTTGATTCGTGAGAAAGAACAAAAAAGTTCATTTTTTTTAAGTAAATGGTATGAGAAAATTTGATTTTTGATCTGTTTATGTTAACTTATAAGTTATGGGTTTAGTGATGGACTGATGGTGGAAAAGGGTCTTGTTTGATTCGAGGGAAAGTGAAATTTTTTGGGACTTGGGAGAGAGAGTGAACAAAGTTTCCGGGGCAAATGCTATTAATAGGGTACAAATGGGAGTTAACACTAAGATTCTCCTTTTTGGTGTGTTGACTTGATCATTGAATTGTTCACTCTCATTGTTATGGGTTTGATAATGATACGTTTGATGATAGCATAAAGTTGCTTGATTGGGTGTTAATGATGGAACGTTTGTTGGCATGAACATTAAAATGAGTGTTAGTGATAGAATGTTTGGCTATGAAGCTGTCTTGGTGTTGATCTAATTGATAGTTCCATGGGCTGAATCTGTGTAAACTGATATAGGATTTCAATGGGACCGGTATTGGTTAGTTGTGAACTCTAAAGGAAGAGCATACACTCAAAGAGTTGAGCCAAAGCTTGCTCTTGTTGAGTCTGAGTTGCCTAATGAAGCCTTCTTGGAAGATTGGGAGCCAACAAAGGACTCATTTTTGGGTAAATTTCTGGCTAAAGTACGAAAGTTATGCCTGTATGGAGACGCGAATTTATGTTCTTGATTATTCATTTTGCAGTTGTAAATGCCCCTGGTATGAGTCCGTTAAAGATCCCGTTGACTAAGCCAAGCTCGGTGGCAGAAGGTGTGTCGATGTGGGAGTGGTCTGGATCTGCGTTTGATGAAGGAGAAGAAGCTGCACAATGGTTTTCAGATTATCTCGGGAAACAAAGCCGTTTGGTTCGGTTTAAAAAAGGTTTTGATTTTTTTTTTCTTGTGAATCTTTTCGATTGAGACAGATTTGGATGCACATAATTGATCAAGTTTGTTGAAATTTATCTACAGAAACTGAAACCAGACCTTCCCCTCCTGAGTTTGCAGCTGGTTACTCTACAACATTTGCAGATATGTTTCCGTTTTTGGTTGCATCTCAGGTGAGCCAATATCTAAAGCTCCAGTATCTGTTAATGAGGATACACTTTTGATCTTCTTTTTCCTTTGTGGTTCTTAGGCTTCTTTAGACCAACTGAACACACTTCTGCCAGAACCAGTGCCTATAAACCGTTTTAGACCCAAGTAACCTATCATTCATCCTGCGGTCTTTATGCCTTCAATGATGGTTGTTTTGTTCATGATTCATTGTTTGTTGTTTCTATGTAGCATTCTTGTTGATAATTGTGATCCTTTCGGTGAAGATCTTTGGGATGAAATCAAGATAAATGATTTAGTCTTCCAAGGAGTTAGGCTATGTAGCCGCTGCAAGGTGAATGTGATGTGAAAGTAAAGTATATTCAGAATCTCAAGTTGAGGCGTTAACCATTTTGTTCTTTCAGGTACCAACTGTGAATCAAGAAACCGGGGTTCCAGGTGCAGCAGAACCAACTGAAACTCTAATGAAATTTAGATCAGACAATGTCTTAATGCCAGACAAGAAAGCACGTGGAAAGGTTAGATATAAGCTCTTACCTGATGTTGATAGAAACTTGTTGGATTCAATATGATGTTAAACCGAGGCAATGAAACTGATATCGAATTCGATTTACAACAGGTTTTCTTTGGTAAGGAAATGGTTTGGAATTGGAACTTAACCAACACCGAAGATAAAGGCAAGAAGACAATCAAAGTTGGTGATACCATCTCTGTCATAAGGAAGATCCCTTCCAGAGCTGAAGCAGCTGCTTAAGTCATATTTATGAACTTTGCTTCTCTTTCTTCTTCTGCTGTGTTGTGTGATATGTCTAAATAAAGTAAACAGAGATACTATCTTGCTCATGTACATTCCGAACTTCTTGTTCTGAGATTCACCTTGTTTAAAGTGTAAGTTTGTTTGGTTTGACTAATTTTAGTTGGCCTTGGGTTTTCAGAGAACAATACTACAATACATTAGATTTCATACTTAAGAGATGTCTCACTTTGATTATATTTTTCCTCCGGAATGTAATCGAAGAAGCCGTTGAAACTTATTTTTCTTACTCAAATCTGGAAGAAGAGTGAGAGAACAATACTACAATACATTAGATTTCATACTTAAGAGATGTCTCATTTTTAACATTTCAGCTTATCAGACTCCAAAAGTTGTTGAACAGCTACCAAATCAGGAAGCACAATAGCTCCAGCGTCAGTCCAGTCTTTAGCAGCTTCTGTCTTAAACCTGTCAAGCAACAAAGCATGCATCCCTATACTCTTCGCCGGAACATAATCTTTGCGCATACTGTCTCCAATATGCAAAACATCTTCAGGTGCAATATTCCCCGCTCTCTCTAGCGCGAGCTTGTAAATCCTTGGATCCGGTTTCTCTATCCCTTCAATTCCAGAGAACACACCAAAATCCCATTCTGCCTGAAATGAATCAAATGGAAAATACTGAGTCAAGTTTTAGGAACCTAAGAATCACACACATTCACAATGAGTCTACACACATTCACAATGAGTCCTTAGAGACTCTCCACTACCTTGTTCAAACCTAAGGCAGGTAAAATAACTTCTTGATATCGGTATTCCGCATTGCTAACAAGTCCAATTATAAGCCCTTTACTGCGTGCCCATCTTAAAAACGGTCGAGAATCTTGAAACACAGAGTAAGGTGCAGCTGAACCAAACGTCGAATAGATTCGCCTAAAAATCTTCTCAAATGTCTCCTCATCATAATCATATCCTGCCTAATAAACCACAACATCAAAGTAAGCAACACACAATACACAATACACAATACACCAAAATAACAAAAAGAGAGATAAAAATCCAAATCCAACCTTGACAAAGGAATCTCTCACACAAGTTTTCCACCAAACAATGTTTGGCATTTTGGCATGAAAACCAAAACAAGGATAGTTCCGTGCCATATCTGTATAAGCTATCTTAAAACCTTCATGAACTCGTTTATAATCAGGACAAGGCAAACCAATGGCTTTAGCAGCCATACAATAGTAATCGCCAAGCTCTCCTTTATATGCTATGAGTGTACCAGTAACATCTACTGTTATACACCTTAACTTCGATAAAAGCGACACCGCCATTTCCAGATTCCTTTCTAAAACCCAAATCTGCACAACAACAACAACAAAAACCCAACAATTTTAACTCAAAAAGATGATCAATTTGTTAAAACAGATACAAAAGTAAGCTCCTTTTTGACAAATTTGCTTCACCTACCAAATCAAGAAGAAAAGGGATGAACTTTACAGAGTTAACTGATTCGAATTCAGGGGTTTTGCTAATAAGTGGTGATTTTTGAATAAACCACAAACAAGAAATGATGGGAGCTCAGGCAAAGTATCAATTTTGAACAGTAGAATCATATCATCAAACGTAGGGTCATTCAAAGCTAAGCTTTTTCGCAAGAAACAAAGCAAAAAGCACGAAAATTTTGGAAAACACGTGAAGGAGAGAGAGAGATTTGAAGTACCCAGAAGCTGAGAATGGAGGAGAAAATATCTCACATAGAAGAAATCGCCATTGTTAATCTTTTCTTCTTAATCTTTGGTTTTTGCTATACTTGCTTGTAAAAGCTTTGAACAAGATCACAAAGAGTAATCTTTTAGGTAATATATATACAGTAGAGAGATGCGTGTGATTTGTGATTTTGCGCACACAGATAAATTAGGCAGCTAGTAAAGAAATTTACTTTCGTGTAAAAGATGAGTTTCTTGAGAAATCGGACATTTGTTAATACACTCTTAAGGTAATTAATTGTGCTAATATTGGAGAGCAAGTTTGAGGGTATTTAGGTAATTTCACTAAGGAGAGAAAAGAAAAAACAAAACCCATTGGATTGGATATGGCATGATAGTTGCCTGCTGTATTGTCCGAACACAAAAAACGGTTTCAGGTTTTCGATTTTTGTGTCTTTTTTTACATTTTATTAAATTAATGAATTTAACTGGACTATTGTTTTTTTTTTGTTTACAAGTTTTCTTCTGGTGAATCAGATTCATATGATGAAAGTGGTGAGAAACTTGTTCTACTAGAATATGTTTTTGTTTACAAGTTTCTTGTGAATTAGATTCATATAGATGAATTGTCCAAATTCGAATAGAGATTAAAGTCCGATTAACGAAAATAAAAATGTTTTCTATGGTCAACATTGACACTTATTATGGTTGTCAAATATTAGAAAATGTGTTCTATAAGTGTAGGATGAAAATCAATTTGCTAAGGAAAAGTCATATTTTTAGGCCAAATTTAATGAATGTTGTGATTTATTTGACTATTTGATGAGAATAGCATGTTATACACTCTTTCGTTTCGTAAAAACTTGATCCAAATAAACACCATTAGGCATGGACGTTCTCGGATAATTTTTATGCTTAAAATCCGAATATTTCAGATTTCGGATCGGTTTACGAATTTTGCTAGTTCGAATATGAATATCTAGTTTACCGGATCGAAATTACTCAAATCAAATTATTGTTTCTGTTTAACGGATTTCAGTTATTACCCGAATCAAAACCAAGATTCGAATCACATTATATATAAATTCTATCGGATTTTACTGATTAACTGAAACCGGTTCAGATTGTTTCGGTATCATTTTTTGGTTTCCGATTATATGGCCAGGCCTAAGCTCCATGCTAAAAACTAGAGAAATTATTAGGTAGGATGTTTAAATATGCGCTCAACAAATTCGTTGAACATTTATTTACATAATTATTAGTTTATTAATAGCTCTAAAAATAACTTTTTTTAAATATAAGTTTGTGCTTAATAATCTAGTATTTTAAATACAAGACAATGACTGGCTACTAGTATATATATACAGTCAACAAGAGAGACAAAGGAGCTTGGATCTATCTATCTATTCAATGGTGGAAAATAATGAGCAATGCTTGAAGTAGAACCATCACCTTTGCTTTTACTGGTGTTAAGCCGCTTATTAGGGTGTAGGAAACTCCTGAGTTCTCGTTGAATCTCAGCTGGTAATTCATCGAAAACTGACTGATCGATTTCATCGATCTTGTATCCCCAATCTGTTTCTCTTCTCTCTTCTACCTCTTGGTTCACTTTATTACTATGGCTGCTGCTACTGAAGTTGGCTCTTCTACTGGTTGATGACACTGTGGAATCTTCTTGAGTCTCTTGTTTCGATAAAGGAGTTGCATTGTAATTCTTGAAAATATCGACAATTGAAGGCATTCCCTAAGATCAACCAAGCAACAGATCTTAGCATCAGTAGAAGATTTTTGTGCATTAAACAAAGCAATGAACTGCTTACTCGATTCTTTTCATTTTGGTTGTTTATCTTCCGCCCAGTTCTCTTTGTTTGTGTGCTTCTGTTTGATTCTAATTGGGTAGGAATAACCGTTACTTCACTTGATGGACAAGAGACAACATCCTGACAAGGAAAGTGCGGAAATGGTTGTCAAGGACACACCAATTAACTTATACGATAACATAAAAGAATATGTAAGCTCTCGAGTAACACTACAGGCCCTAACCAAACACCTCTTACCAGTTATAATTGCTAAAGAATATAGTCACATTTCTATTCCTTTGAAAGTTGAAACTGAGTACGTCAAATAAGCTAAATATGCTTAGTCTCTTTGCTAGATCACACTTCTAAGAAATGCTTAAAAGTAAAGAGAAATGAGAGCTGATACCTCTTTGGAGACTAAATCAATGTCTTTATCTGGGTTTTCAAAATTAGGCAAAGTATAAGTTACACCAGTGTCTTCTTCATGTATTATTGCTTGGGCTTCTGTTGATCTCTGTACTGAACAACCTTCAGTAGCTGCATCAGTTGCAGAAAAAATCACGACATTAAATTACCAGAAACAAGAGAGAATTAGAAAGTTCAAAAAAAAAATATAGAAAACTTTGGTATACGGTATACCTGAAGGAGTCATCTCTACATGATCTTGAACACAACCATCTGCTGAACGAGAAGGAGCAGTAGATTGACTTTGAAAGTATCTCATTATCGAGCTTGTTCCCTACGGTCATAAGATATCACTCCTAGCAAATCAGTGAAGAAACCAGGTAATGCTTGATAGTTAGCAGTAATTGGCAGAGAATTAGAAGTTATAAGGACTTACAGATGGTATATCAACAATTTTACTTGCAGAAACAGAAAGGCCTGTTATTCTCCATGTCTCTTGTTTATTTCCAGGTTTGCTCCCAAAAGGTCCCATGTACTCACGTAAGGCAGCTTGGAACAGATTAAAGGCATCTTCTTGGATCTTGGTTACTCCATATCTCAGGGGACATGATTTTGAAGGAAATTTCTTATGAGAATCTGAATCCCTTGACTGCATTGTTTTCAGGACATAATATGTTTTAAGTCGTAGTCTTTCGGGAAGGAAAATGATAAAATAAGTATTTTTTCAATGAAAAATTACATAAACAAGAGAAAAATAAATACTTTGAAAGCGCTAGCATGAAGGGTAAGGGTACTCGCAATCCGCTTATTCAGCTCCAAATCAGAACTGAGGCGCTCACTTAGTTCTTCGGAAAGCTGATTCAGCCAATGCTGAACCTAAAAGTATAACAGAAAACACAACAGTTATACGGAAACCTCGTTATATGATATGACCGAAGAGAAGAACGAACTACATTTTCTAGTATCTTTCTAAAAGTTTTCAATTTTATATGAACGTGCTCTTATAAACTATAAATTGAACCAGCTGATAAAAAAGGAAAAGGCATAGTCTGCTTGAGATTTTAGTCTTACAGTTGAGAGTGACTTCAAAGCACGAGGTCCGGGAAATGTCTTTCCTGAACCATGACTTTTGGGGAGAAGGCGACCTTGCACTTCTTCTCCACTGATCCCTCTTGCGATATTCCATAACCAAGTACTACAAGTCAAAGAAAAAGAAGTATGAATTAACTAGTTTAGTGGGAAGACGGAATCAGAAAACACACACAAGTCGCATTCTTAAACACATAAGCGGTTATTAGGAAAAATAATATAAATCTTAGCAGACTAGAAGGTAACAAGGTAATAATAGAAAAATGGTTTTAAAATCTCCAAAAATCTGCAATAGTCTAACAGTACATAAGAAAAATTTACTGTCTATTCCGAAGCTATTACCCAGTATTTATTCCATAATGTTCTTGCAGCTTTGTTTCAGAAAATTGCAACAAGTCCCCCACAGTATCAACTCCCAGATCAGTTTGCAAGCTAGTGCCCAGCTTTCCTCCCAGCTGTTTCCTGCAAGACTAAACTAAATAATTGTCAACAGTAACTGACGATAGTATGATGCTGGGACAGAGGTGTAAGAAGCAATGCACAATTTAAGACCATCATAAACATTTTAGAACACAGCTATAGTAATACTGAAACAAACATCATATCTTTGTCTGTTTATAAATAATGTGACATCTGCACCAAAATCAGTAAAATTGGTGAGGCTTACTTACATTTTCTTTACAGGCAAGGAACTGAGTAGTTCCTGCACAGCTGAATATGGTACAACGGTTTGCTGGGCAGGTTTATTCATCCCACTAGCAAGTTTCGCTAGCATCTGCTAGTCAAGTTACGTGTTATTACTCGCCATAAAACGATAAAACAAAAAGAGAAATAAAAAGCTACTTGCCTTGTTATGGGCTATGCCAGCAGAACAAGTAAACTCAGTCTCCTTAAGCACCTGTTTCCGGAGTTCTGCAACAATGATAATTCCACAACTTAATAACTTATCACGGCGATCAGCATCTTTCCGACATATCCAATCACGGACACTCTCCTTGAAATCATCTCCATCCTGAATCAAAGTGAAAAAGAAGTTAGATCATTATAGTTACCATGACTATACTCTTGATGGAGATTAGAAGAATCCACAACCAGACCTTTCTGCTCATTCCAAGAATATGGGATTTAAGCACTTCTTCGTCAATCAATTCCAAACTCTCCGGAGGTGCATCAGCAAGCATACTTTCTGCTGCATCAGTGAGGTCAAGATACACTTCATCAATCGAAGCCCTCTCACATTTACCGCTTTGTGCTAGAATCGATACCACCTGCAGAGACACATTTAACAAAATGACTTAAAGCAAAATATCATTGTTTTAGACTAACACAAACAGTAAAATAATAACTTTCCACTTCCATCAACCTCAGAACCCGCACTGCGATATAAATTCAAGTCAGCTTTACCACGAGCAACAGGAACTTGAACCAATTGAATTTCAGGGCAAGCAGCCTTAGCCTCATCACCTCTCATTGACCTGAAAACTCACCCGAAACACCGTTTTCGCCAACTCACCCAAAAAAAGATTGATACAGTTGTGGGAAAAAAGCATTCTTTAAACAGACTAACCGCTTTACACCACATTTACGTGCTTCATAACTAACAGCAATCAAACCACCACCTTGCCATTCATTGTACTGTACAACTGCTGTAGGAAGTCCTCGCAACTCCGGTTGCTTCCTTTGCTCCACTAATTCAGGTAACAAAGGAAGAAATTTTCACAAAACAGAAACAAAATCAAAGTTTTTGGCTTTTCTAATCCAAGTTCCAAATCCCCAAATTTGGTCATTTCCCCCAAATCCCTAAAACAAACACATCAACATCGCCAACGAGAAGAAACAAAAAACCCCTTTTTCACAGAGATTGAAAAAAAACCCATAAATTTCAATTTCGATTCGGAAGAGCTATAAAGTCCTTTGCTTTATCTCACTAAAGCGTGAAGCGAACTGTATATAACTCGAGTAAGAGAGAAAGAGAGAGAGACCTTGAACGTAGAAGCAATCCATGTCGACATGAGCGATAACCCTAACATCCGAGGTCTCTGGTCTCGCTACAGGCATGTCTCCACGAAATTGAAGCTGCTGAGTTCTAAAATCAGAGTAATCCGAGAGAGAGACAGAGAGTGAACAGATTAGGGAAAAAGCTTTTTTTTTTTTTTTTTTGGGGTCGAATAGCGCGCGAAAATAAAAATCAGGATAAAGGGAGACGATTAGTAAAATAAAAGATTTACAACATGAACCCTCAAAGAAACTAAATTTTGCAAAACAAAATCAGAATTATTCTTCAAATTATTTGTAAAAGATCTATTAGTTATTTTTGACTGATGGTATTATGGTTGGAAACTTTGCATTTTTCGAATAGTAAACTGTTACCGTTCGGTTTTGTTATTAATTAGACATTCGTTCTTATAAAAAGGGTATTTAAACATTTTAATATCTATTTGCTACTATTATCATCTAAATTTAAATTATCTAATTTTTTTCATAAATACTATCAGAATGAATTATTACTTCACAGAAAAAAATTTATTTTCTATTTTTCCTTTGTTCTTTTCTTTCTACTCTCGAATTTTTACTCTCTTATTTACTAACTTATAATTCCGCCGTGTACGCCTTTTTTTCTTTTCTTTTTAGGCTCATGCTAACTCCAACGAAGACGGCATCACACCATATTGGGTGATAATTGCTCTCCAATGGGACGGCATTTTCTTTTTAGTATTTTGTGAACAATGTTTAAGTTTTTGTTTTAGTATTTTGTGAATAGTGTTAAACTATATTTGGTGTAACACTATTCACAAAACATTATAAAAATAAACTTTCCAAGTCGCAATATTTTGCAACTTTACTATCCAAATCTAGAAAATGCAAGTTAATCCTACAAAATTAAAGTAAATACTATAACCCGTTTTCGCTACTATCATGTTCGTAAAAGTTTTAGAAATAATATATCAAATCGAAGCGCTCGTGACTAGAAGTTTAAATATATCTTTAGAATTTTCAAAAATAAATGTATGTAACCGTAAAATCGTTTAGAAAAATAAATTTATCTGGAATAATGGCTGTATTGAGAATTATTTTTTATTTAGTATAATTTTTTTTGGATATAGATAGGCAAAAATTGAGGACTCATAAGGTTTATTTACATAAAACCTTTTAAATTAATTTATTTGCTTCAAAAATTATTATTTTTATTCTATTTATGAAAACATTCGATTATCTTACTATATAAACCTCACCGGGTGTGACTTAAAAAAAAAAAGGAAAATTCCGTTGAAAGCTTCTTCTTCTTCGCCTCGCTCTGAGAGATTCATCATCCCCAATAACAACAATGAAGCGTAGCTTTGGTTCGAATTCTTCAAACAATAGTGGCAGTGGGAGTAATAAGAAGTCTAAGAAGAAGAATAATCCGAGTAATCAGAAAACCCTAGGTGCCGCATGGGGCGCTGCTTCTTCTCGTTCTTCATTCCGGTCTGCTCCTTTCTCCGATTTCGGAAGGTCTTTCTCTTAATCTATGGAACTTTATTTTTGGGTAGTGGTTGGATTTTGAAATTCCCATGTAAAGTTTGGAAATTTAAGTGCTTGTTCTGAGAACGATCGATAACGTTTGTGACGTTTGAATTTTGGAAATTCGTATGAAGTTCTGTGATTTTATATGTTTTTGTTGTTAGTTACATGGAAGTGAAAAATCGGAAACTTCAGAACCAATTTGAGACTGAGGCTTCTGCTACTTCTCATGGTGTTTCGGGTTCTGAGAAACTTATTTTCCAAGGGGTTTCAATCTTTGTGGATGGTTTCACCATTCCTTCCCATCAGGTTTATTCTCTATTGCTTTGATTTTTTTAAATCAATTTTCCATTATGTTGGTGTTTGGTTCTCTGCTGATTTGAAATGGCTTACCTCTTAGATTTTCATTATGTTTTTTCTGTAGCGTAGTATTACTGGTGTGTCATCTGTAGTTAACTGTGCCTAGATCTGTGTAGGAGCTTAAAGGATACATGATGAAGTATGGTGGAAGATTCGAAAACTACTTCTCTAGGCGTTCTGTAACACATATCATCTGCAGCAACCTTCCAGATAGTAAAGTCAAGAATCTAAGGTTAGTTGTTTTTAGTTTCTTGAAAATCCTGGCAAAGTTCTTGCAAGTTCGTGTCTTAAAACTGGTTTTTAAACATTTCTGATCAGGGCATTCAGCAGAGGGTTACCTGTTGTGAAACCCACGTGGATAGTGGACTCTATCTCTGCCAACAGACTTCTCGGCTGTAAGTCAACAGAAGATGATGTGTGGATTTGATCAGTTAACTACTGTCGTATGTATTCATTTATCATTGCAAACTATTTATTTGTACATCTGATTCAATGCTTTGTGTTGTGATTATCATATCTCAGGGGTTCCTTACCAGCTAGATCAACTGAATGATACCCAGCCAAAGTTGTCTGCCTTTTTTTCACCCGGAAGCCATTTGACCCCTCAGATGGCTTCGCCGGTTACATCTTGTCAGCCTGATACTGGATACAGTGAAGCAGAAGAAGGAAGTTCAATTAGAGCTGAAGATTCAGAGGAAGCAAGAGACAACGTTAATGATGAGATTGATGGCGTTTTTATCGAGAACACTACTGCAGAACTGACGGAAGAAACAGGAACTGGTGATCTGAAATCTTCTGAAACGAATCCTGAAAGACTTTGTAATTATGATATAGAAGAAAAAGAAGTTACTAGTGAAATTCAATCCACTACCAATCTTCATTCCGCTTCAGACAACAAGTCCTTTCATGCAAATGGGAAGAATGCTGGCAAAGCAACCGTTGCTGGATCTTCTACAAGGCGTCATTCAACTCTTGAGGATCCCAATTTTGTGGAAAACTACTTTAAGGTAAAACTTTATAGAAATATTTTTTGCCTGGGTTATTCCCACACTTTCTGGTATCTCTTACAAAAGATTTATTTAGCTGCTGGTTTCTTCCGAAAAATAAATAATGATCTCTGGCTGAGATATTACTCCTGTATTCAAAGTCCTTTCAGACGAAAGTAAGAGAGTCTCATTGTCAATTTATATAACTAGAAATAAGTGGATGTATTGTATCATTCCAATGAAGATTCTGAAGATTTTTATTATATGTTTTTTTTTCCTGCAGAATTCAAGGCTACATTTTATTGGAACATGGAGAAATAGGTACCGTAAAAGATTTCATGGCTCTTCCAATGGACTGAAATGGGCAGATTCTGGTCAGAATACAGCTGAAGTGGATAAGAAGTCGACCATTATCCACATTGATCTGGTATTTCCTAAATCTGGATCTTTTCTTTATTTTCTGCTTTCTAAAAGTAAGAGCAAGAACAGAAAGCCGTGGCCAATTCTTCAATTCTGCATTTTTCCACAGCACAATAGCTAGCTGTTTACGCATGAAATTGGCCATAAAAGAGAGTGAAAAATATGATTGAAGTTTGTGATTCTAGAATTGCATTATTGGTTCTGACTTTCATTTGCTGCATTCTAGTTATTTATTTCTTTGATATATTTCCAGGATTGCTTCTTTGTGTCAGTGGTAATCAAGAACCGTCTTGAATTACACGACAAGCCGGTAGCTGTATGTCACTCAGATAACCCAAAAGGAACTGCTGAAATTTCCTCTGCAAATTATCCAGCTCGGGCTTATGGTCTGTCTTATACGAAAGTAATCTCTCTTAAGCTTGGTTGTATTCGGGTTCTGACCATTCTGTTTTTGTACTAATTTGATGTCATTTTTTTTTTCTAGGAGTGAAGGCAGGTATGTTTGTAAGACATGCAAAAGACCTTTGCCCTCAGCTTGTTATTGTTCCTTACAACTTTGAAGCCTATGAAGAGGTATTTTTTAGAGTTGAGTGTCTATTTGTATGTTGTCACGTCGGTCCAGATTGTTTGACATTGTAACTCAATTGCAGGTAGCTGATCAGTTTTATGACATCTTGCATAGGCATTGCAGAAAAGTCCAGGTCAGCCTCCAAAAGAATTTTTTTATGAGTTGGTGGTCTTTGGATGTTGTTAACATTTATGTATGTTTTTTGGAGTTTAGGCGCTAAGCTGTGATGAAGCGTTTTTAGATGTCTCTGATTTGAGGGATGTAGAACCCGAATTTTTAGCCTCGACAATAAGGAATGAGATCCTTGAGACTACTGGATGCAGTGCAAGTGCTGGGATAGGCGGTACTATGCTAATGGCTCGTCTCGCTACCAGAGTTGCTAAACCAGCCGGCCAACTTTACATCTCTGCTGAGAAGGTACTTTCTATAGAAAGCTTTCTATCTTTTGGATATGTGTTTGTTTCGGACTTGTAATCAGTGGTTAGAGGTATATGAGCTGTGCTTAGTTTCTTAATTGCAGAAGCCATTTTGTATTAATATTGGTTAACTGATAGTGTCTGCCATTTCGGCAGGTAGAGGAGTTTTTGGATCAGCTTCCAGTCGGGACACTACCTGGTGTAGGTTCTGTGTTGAAGGAGAAGCTGGTGAAGCAAAATATTCAAACCTGTGGGCAGTTACGTTTGATTTCCAAGGTAAAACATTTTTGTGGTTATGGCATAACTGGTTGCTATTTAATTTAAGCAAAACATCATAGGCAATTTTATTTAATACGACATTTTCCTTTGAAGACTACTGTTTCTTATTAGTTTTAAGCTGCTTAGTAATTGTTATCGACAGACAACTTCGCTAAGCTCTACCAAAATATCCTGTCGGGTTTGGGTTTTATAGGATTCTCTTCAAAAGGATTTTGGAGTGAAAACCGGCGAGATGCTTTGGAGTTATAGCAGAGGACTAGACCTACGGTCTGTTACAGCAGTGCAGGTATGCTTAACTGTTGACTCACTCACTTGTTTGACATTTCATCATTTTTCTCTCTGTTGGTGATATTTTTCTTTTGATATGTATATTCTCAGCCAATAACGTAATGATTTTATATGTACAGGAGAGTAAGTCCATAGGGGCTGAAGTGAATTGGGGTGTGCGTTTCAGAGATCAGCAAGATGTGTGGATTTCGTGAATAATGTCTTGTTTTTTTTTTCCAAACATTATTCATTTGAGGTTAGCTAAGAACATGTGTGGTTATTGATGGTTGCAGGTTCAACACTTCCTTCAATGCCTATGCAAAGAAGTTTCTTTGCGTCTGCAAGGATGTGAAATGATAGGACGCACCTTTACTCTTAAGGTTTAATGCCTTTCTTAGTTTCATTTTTGTAAAATATTGAGGTTTTTGTTTTAATAGTATATTAGTTTTCATCGCTTTGGGCAGTATATGCCATGTTCGAGTGACATCATTAATGACGAAAATAAAATATAATGACTATTTGCACTCTTGTGATACTTCAGATAAAAAAGAGAAAAAAAGATGCTGAAGAACCTACCAAGTATATGGGTTGTGGAGACTGTGACAATCTGAGTCGTTCCATCACCGTGAGTTATTGCAATGGAAATTAATGGAAAACTAGGATGATAGTATTTTTCTCTCATACTGCACGTGTGGTATTTTTCATATAAAGTCTGGCTGATTATTTTTAGCATCGATGCTATAGGTGCCTGCTGCTACAGATGACGTGGAAGTTCTGCAGAGGATTTCAAAGAAGTTGTTTGGGTCGTTTTGCTTGGGTAAGTGGGTCTCAGGTGCATTCCTAAGATGGTTTTTTATTGCTATTAACTGAGCATCTAGATTCGCGTCCTTCCTCACATTCAAGAAGTAGCTTAGTTGAACTTCAAATTTTATAAAGATGGATGAGACTAGTTTGAAAATATGATCCTGTGAGACCAATTTAAGCTCAATATTGCAGAGTTGTTCTATCTTACACTGCAAGAGAGTGAGAAAGTTGTCCTTAAGACTGAATGTCCTGTTGGAATCTATTCTTTGCTATTGACTCCTGGATAACATCTAACTGTTGCATCAGCATCCATGATTAAACATCAATTTTTGTTTCTCTTGAAATAGATGTTAAGGAAGTTCGTGGGGTTGGGCTTCAGGTCTCTAAGCTTGACAGTGCAGATCTTTCTAATAAAGGTTAGTTCTGGGGAATTAAACTGTCGGGTTCATTTCGATTTGATACGTATTAAATTGCAGATCATTCTTATGAAATTTCTTATGCAAACATTTCGGAAAGAAAAGTGATTCAAACATTGTAGTCTCTCCTATTCATTTTTACTTGTTCCTTTGGTTTTCAAGGTTCAAGGACTCTGAAATCATGGCTCAGCTCTGCACCTGCATCTGTCCAAATAGAACAAGATGATAATGTTTTTTCCGCAGTAGTCAGGGAAAACTCAGGTAAATAAATGTTCTTTTAGTGCTCACTATGCTAAAGCTTTACAAGTGCTGCCCAGAAAGACACGCCTATTTGGTATATTTGTCTTTAGTAACAACCCCAACGTTCTGTTTGAAAACGTATTAGTTTGTCTGTGAGAAGAAAATGTATTAGTGCGCTCTTAGTTAAGCTTTAGCTCCAAAAAACTAGTGACTTAATTGTTGCCATGTGACAGATCGTAATAGGCATGTTGCTGGTGGAGTTTCTAGACTCCGAGAATCTAATTCAGCAGAATCTTCAATTCAGTCAGGTGATACAAATTCATCCTTACCGCCTATGTGTCACCTCGACATGGAAGTTCTAGAGAACCTTCCTCCAGAGCTCCTTTCAGAATTAGATGGAACCTACGGCGGGAAGTTGTATGAGTTGATTGAGAAAAAACGAGGCAAAAGAAAAATCAACAATAGTTCTCCACATGTCTCCTTGGATGGTTAGTTTTGTCTGTTGTATTAGAAGCCTGATCAAATAGTTGTGTTTTTTACCCCAGTGTAGTGCATCTGAGATGGTTACTTTTTCTTCCCATAGGCACTACTGCTGGCATTAAGGAATTAAAACCTCTCTCAGTTAAGATACATGGCTTGAGCACCTCTGGAGAAAAGGTAAAGCTCTTTCTATTCCTTCTTGGAATGAATCATCGCACATATGTTAACAGTTACCTGAAACTGGGGCGAGTGATATAGACTTATAAGAGTTTTGTTACATTCCTGAAATTAGGAATATAAAAAACCATTTGTGCCGCATCTTTCCACTGCCAGAGCGTCTATTCAGCATACAATAGATATGACTGATTTGATGCCTTCATCCCTTAGTCAAGTCGACGTCTCTGTGTTACAAGAATTACCTGAAGAGTTGAGAGCTGATGTATTGGGAGCATTTCCTGCCCACAGGAGACAACAATCATCATCAGATGTTCCCATGGAGACTTGTAAGAAACAAGATGAGGAGCCGATAGATATAAAGGGCACTGAGAATGAGAATGGATTCTCATATAGGTCTCTCTGGTTTGGGAATCCTCCTCTTTGGACAGAGAAGTTCAAAGTTAGTGGCAATTGTACTTTGGAATTTTTTTCAGAGACATACTACAAGGTTGCTCAGTCAAGGCCTATGTTATCCCCGGTCCTGCAACACGCTATTTCAGAAATCGGGATTTTTCATGATGCAAGTGCCAATGATTTGGACGAAGCTATTAACAATATGTGTGAACTTCTTAAACAGTACATTAAGCTCAAGGTAGAAGGTGATATTGAGGAGATATATCTCTGCTTCCGCCTTCTGAAAAGGTATTATTGCAGAGATCTTTCTTGCACCTGTATTTGATCATAGTTATGATACATTTGATTTAGAGATCTCTTTGATTGTTCATCTTTGATTATTATTACCACTTTTATTGGTGATTATACGTTTACCTTCAGATTAGCAGCAAGGAGCCAATTTTTCCTACAAGTCTATGAGATATTGTCGCCCTTTATTCAGGTCAGTGCAAGGTTGTACATTGACATTGCAAATGACTATGAAAAAAGGATGCCAGAAGTTTAACCATGAATAAGCTAGATCCTGAATTGAATCATTTGGGAAAATCTGAAATTGGCAAAGTAATCAGACTTCTTTCTTTACACAGGCCACGATCAATGAACACTATGGAGGAAGCTTGAGTATACCTTGAAAGGTCTTTGCTGTGGTTGGACTGAAATCTGGCTGGATGCTATAAAAGAATGTATACTTGCAGCTACATTCGCTTTTGTCCCTTCTTATGGGTTAAGATTCATTGTAAGTGTTAAGAAGGTGAAACACTGTTGTGGTCCTTACCAACAAGACTATCAAGACGGCTGTGAATAGAACTAAACTTGGGATTTGACTTTGCAAGACAATGTGGATCCATCATGAAGGGCATCATGGTGTTTGGTGAATGCACACAAAGCAGCTTATTGCCGCAAATTCGCATGTGAATTGAAAGCTTACATTGTGGCATTTGCACAATGAGATATGGGAATAATTATAACCTCAAAAGTGCAGAGCCACTAGGAACCACTATTTTTCTCTGTTCAGGGGATGTATATAGAAGAAACAAACACTGTACTCTTGTGTATAATAGTACAATTTACAAGTACAGCTCCATCATTTGGTTAAAGGGTAATTAGTTTTTTTTTTCTGTTCTTTTCCAATTTCGATTTCAAGAGCAAAGGCTATCTAACTGACAATACAGGAAAGCTAAAACACAACTAAAAACCCCCATCATGCATGGATTCGAAGATTATGCCTTGAGTTATAAGAAAGAGCAAAAGGGTAACAAAAAAGAAGCAGTGAAATCTGCTTTAGTAATCCTCTCTAACTTTAAAGAAAAATTTTAGAGAACTTTTTGAGAGTTAATCTGTGTGAAGAAGTATCGATGTTTGGTGCTTGTGTGATCAAGCGTATTTTGTGCGTTGGTATTGACGCTACTTGTTGGAATTGAAATGTAGGCTCATTGGGAGTTTAGCTCATAGTTAGCCTATCTTGGTGAAGTCTAGACTTATGGAGAATTTTGGCTTAAGATTAGTTTGTCTCAAAATTTCATGTAATTGGAAAAAGTGGTAATTCAAGAAGGATGGATTTAATTTACGTGTTTGCAAATTGATTGCATTTGCTTTTTTTTTTTTCAAGTAGAATTTAAATCTGAACTTGTAATAATAAAAATTGAACCTCATTAACAAACTTTTTGTTTCATTTACTTTATGCACTCTTATTTGTTTCATTCGCACTTACAAAATGGTGGCAAAGCCAATACAACATTTTTAGATATCGTGCTCAAATCTACAAAATTATTATTATTATTTTTATTATTATTACTATGTATTATTTATATTCTCGAACCGATCCATCAAGCCATTTTCTCACCTTAACCCCTCAAATAATTTGCAACATCCCTATAGAAGACAAAGCAAACAAAACAAGGTTATATGTGTATTGTTGTTTCTTCCAAATATATTCAAGTTAATATAAAACGAACCAAGTAAGAAACATACAATATATCATTCTCTAAACATATACTAGATTTATGAAAATATGTATTTACTAGTCATGACTATATTTTCAAAGTATAAGATTTTCTTCTTTTTATCATTCTGCATAAACGCAAAACACTACCGAGCGTTGTGCACTTGTGTTAGTTGTCAAAAATGTTTGATCGAAACGATTAGTGCGATAACTATTTCATAAGTACACAATAGTTTGATATTTAAACATTGAAACGAACTCAAACACAAATGCAAAAAAAGAAAGAAAAAAGAAGCTTTAAAAGAAAATTATTACTGCGATAATTGAGATGGCAAAAGAGGTGGTAAGTGGCATTGCTTTAGACATTTTTGGGTGCAAAATTCTTTAGTGTTTAGTTTGAAACCACACACGAACATGCACTTGTCCCAACATGAAAGTGCTTCTACCTCTCCTCCCATTGTTGTCGTTACTACTGCTTCGACCAACAATACCAATGTAATGCACTTTCTCATATTCATTTTTCTTAAGTTTTGTTTTGTATAAGAGAATATGTATATGTTGCATAAGAAATTTGTTTATATATATGTGTATGTGTGTGTGTGTGTGTAAAACTAATTAATGACCAAATCTTCATTTGGTATGGTATATGTTTATTTTTCTTAAGTTTTGCTTAAATTTATTTGTTTTGTATATAGAAGAGAATATGTATATGTTTTATAAGATATTGGTTTGTATATAGAAATCTAATGAACCAAATCTTCATCTGGTGTATATGTTTAATTATGAAATTAGTCAAGTTAGACCACTTGTGCAATGTTCTAACTTCAACTTTCACTGTATTAAGATTTACATATGCATTGAATAATGCATCCAAAAATGAATCTTAAAAAATATTAATTTAATTTTGAGATCCTTTATCATTTAAATGAATTATTGTATTCCATTTCTTAAGCTGTTCTTTTTTTTTTTTTTTTATGTAGAAGAGAACATTGAAGATGTTCTATAAGAAATTTGTGTGTGTGTGTGTATATATATATATATATCTATATATATCTAATGAACAAATCTTCATCTGGTGTATATATATATATATTCAATTACGAAAATTATTTGTTTGTCAAATTAGACCACTTGTGAAATGTTTGAACTTCAGCTTTCACTTTATTAAGATTTACATATATAACTTAAATATGCATTTTTTTTTAAAACACACCTTCAGATTAAAGTTTGACATTCTTGATCACTTAAATGGGTTATTATATTCAACTTATTATAATATAATTAATTTTCATAATGGTATATCTCTCTAAACTGTACCAAAATTATTCCAATTTATTTTTAAAATATAAACTACTAGAAACCTTTATTTCCAACTAGATTAGAGCTTGCATAAATACGCAATTTTATAAAATAAATACAAATCAACATTACTTTTTGCTATACATTATATATTATCATAATAAATCGAATTTTAACTCGACGCAATTCATCTAACTGTAAATGAATAAGAACTAAACTTCTGTATCACCAAATTATATATGCATATTATATAAATTAATCTATCTTATTTGATATTAAAAATAATTAAATAAACTAACATAAGATAATTAGTAAAATTAAAATAAATTCTATATTTTTTTTGGAAATCCGACTGCAAGTTCGAATGTAACTTTTGTTTTGTTTTTGTTTTTGAATAAATAGCAAGGAGATAAACTTATTAATCACTTAAAAAAGACTATAATCGATTGAGATGACTAACTGTTTAACCCAAAAAAGCTAGTGAGCATGTTTTTACTTCTCCTAATCTATACATTGAGAGGTTGTAGCAATCATCATTAGTTATAGTAGAGATCTTACATGTTTCATCGACATGGAGACAAATAGAAATCATTCAATTTGGTTCCACTTTGCTGAAATAGAAGTCCCTGTCTCAATTTATGATTGCTATATGTCCCACAACGGAGCACTTATTGTCAACTATATAGAAATAGATGGTTGGATTAACATGATGAACATAATTTGAACATAATTTGAATATATTTTAGATTAAAGATTAATATATTTAAGATTGAAATATATATTGTTAAACCAAAACATGAGAATTTTAGTCATTTTCTTACTAAAATTATCTAGATGGAGATGTAGACTAACCAAACACACATATGATCATTCTAATGAACAATCCAAAAACTGAAACGAACAATAGTTAGACGGAGAGCATTTTTATGGACCATTTTGATGAAAATTTTAGATAAGTAGCAAAGAAAGAATTATATGCAAAAAAAAAAAAAAAAAAAAAAAAAATTAGTGGCCATATTACTCATTTTGTCCGTTTAAGCCCTTTATCAAACACTTCACATGAAGAGAATCAATATGAATGGTAAATTATGAGATCTGTTATGCATTTTTAGAGATCATAATACAAAACTGACAACTTTTTTTGGAAATCAAAATGCATACACTCCAACATACAACGATCAAACAATTTGCTTCTGGGATCATGGGCTAGAACTAATGTTAGAAGTATGTTATAAGTGGAAAGTTTAAAGGATTAGATTGTCGCATTGCCTACTTCGTTGAAATGCTTTTTCCTGTTTTTCTCTTCTTTATGGGTGAAGATAACCATATCTCAACTTAGACAGTACCAGCTTGTGTGCTTCATCAAAAATAGACATAAAGGTTGATTTGTGCATGCTTACGACAATATTTAATTTATAGAAAAATTTGTAGAGCTAGCGGTGATTTCTCAACAGCATATAGGTGTCACACACATTCCTAAACATATCTAGTATATAGTTTTATTGGTATCTTAGTATATAGTTTGTTGTTTGCATATTATTTAACCCTTAATTTATCATCATCGACATGAAAAAAAACGCATTGCATGGTTGCGTGGTCTTAAGTGTATCTATCTGCGAGTGAATGTATCTGAGGCTCAAGATTTTTCCATTGCAAGGAAACAGAACGAATCCGGAGGTTTTAGTAAAAGGGTTTGTAAGAAATGTTATCGTGAGAAGTCAGGTTTCGCAGACACGTACGGACCATGAGTACAGTTTGGAACGAGAATATGATGTTTGTTGCGTTTAAGCCGTTTGAAAAGACAGTTTGGTGCCTAGTTTAGAAGAGTACTTAGGGAAATGTGAGATAAAAGTTGTCTCAGGTTGAGAGAAGGATATATCTCGGACCTAAATTGGCTCTATGGTACAACCTTAAGCTTGTCGAGGTCTCAGGACTTAAAGCTTGTTGAATTTTGTTTTATTCGGTAAGCAAGGGAAACGTTTCTGTGTTCAATGTTTTGTCTAGTTTTTGTGTGGTGTAATATTCTCATAGTCTCCATGAAACTGGTAATGACTTTGCTTGGGTTATACGTCATGAGACATCCAAGGCTTAGGGTTTTTTTGATACACCTTCGGTTTCTCGAAACTTTTTTAGGAGATTGTGACAGCATTTATGATATTTCTTTGGTTTTCTTACAAATTATTTATTTAAACTGACAATTTCAATACTTTGCTATAAGTGTATACATTTTATGAGATTCTTCTTTAGTCTATAAGGTTTCTTCCATTTTAATTAGCTTGTCCTGTCCAAAGCCATGGTTAACTATCAAAACGAAACAGCACTCATGTTAGAGAACATTGTAACCTCTACGTTATGAATAGCGCAAAAATACAAAACGACGTCGGGTGTTTCATTCATAGCCCAAATGATACGAACTCGATAAAGATCGGCCCAATAAGAAGTTAAGAACTATACCTGGGATAATATTATAGTTCTGAAACTTTGAGCTATGATTCAAAATAAATTACAACATAAGGGGTTTGCAAATAAATATTAATTACTAAAACCAGTCGAAAAGCCCTAAAGGCCTAAACCCATTAGTCACTGTGTAAACCAACTGACATTTTCTAATAGAAGTCTCCGGCCGGTGTTTCTCCATCTCCGGCATCAATGGCCATGCTCATGCACCGTCTCCGGAGAGTTCTAGTCGCCGCGCCTTCCTACTTTCAAAGATCCTTCACTCTATCTCGTCCCTCCGATTTCACTCCCGTCTCATCGTTATTTCCGCGAAGATCCGTGGTGAAGGTTTCACAATCCTCGGAATTATTAATTATACAAGTAGGCATGTTATTAAATTGGTTTTCTAATTACAGCTTAATTAATTATACAAGTACAAGTAGGTTGTAGTTATTAATTATACAAGTAGGCATGTTATTAAATTGGTTTTCTAATTACAGCTTAAGGAGAAAAATTCCGGCGACAACACCAAAACCGAGATCTGAGCGCCTGGGTGATGGCAGCACGAAAACACACCTACTAGCTCCGGCGATTGCAAGGGAGACTCCTTTGCGGCTTGGACTTCGACAACAAACTCAAAGCCGGAGCAACCTGTCCCGGCGCTTCCCTCCCGGAATAGATCGCAAGAAGACAACCACTCCCGCAATTCTCGAGTCTCCGAGAAAACAATTTTCAAATACGGTGAAGCGAAAGGCAAGCACGGCGGCGAGAAGGGGAAGTAGCTCAAACAAACACCCAACCACCGAGATCCGTGACCAGCCAACAGATCTGAAACCAAATCAGTTGTAAAATCGCCTAACAACATGTCTGAACTCATGATGCCGTTTCATATTCACCCTATGACAGTTAAGAACCTAAAGAGACATGCTTGCGATTTGTGCTTCGGAAGACCGAAACCTGGCATCGTATATTTCTGCAAGGAGTGCGAATTGGATCTGCACAAGGCATGTATCGTCCAGTTCCTCAACAACCCAGCTCAGTGTAATCACCATCTCATGGTTTTCAACTCCATGCTCGATGCAAATGGCAATGAACGATGCCATTATTGTCAACAACAACTATGGTTTATCTTTGCTAGTTGCACTATATGCAACATATGGATCGATGCAAAGTGTGTGCAACAACCACCAGCACGCACTATCTTCCAACCAAAGCACCACAAGCATAGCCTCTTCCTCTTGGGAAGACTAGTCACATTTACTTGTAATGCATGTGGTGTGGAAGGCGACCGCAATCCTTATATATGTATCGAATGCAATCTGATGATCCACAAAGACTGTATTGATCTTCCACGAGTCATAACCATAAATCGTCATGAGCATCGCATCTCTCATACCTTTCATCTTGGTCAAAGAGAAGGCATTTGGGAATGTGGAGTTTGCCGGAAGCCGATTGATTGGGTCTACGGAGCTTTCAAATGCTTCCGTTGTCCTAGTAGTTATGCTGTTCATTCAAAATGTGCAACAAGAAAAGAAGTGTGGGATGGGATAGAACTCGAAGATGTGCCTGAAGAAGATGAAGAAATCGAAGATCCATTCAAGGTAATTAATGAAAAAGATATAATTCATTTTAGTCATGAAGAACATGTTCTCAGATTGGATGAGAATTATGTTCTTGATAATGATGTTATGCGCTGTGGAGGTTGCGTTCTTCCTATCAACGACAATCCATGCTACAAATGCGTGGAATGTGATTTTAGCCTTCACAAAACATGTGCTAGTCTTCCTCGGAAGAAAAACCATTTTTTGCACAACCATAAACTTATTCTACGGGCTCGAAAAGATGACGTTTATGTAGATAAATGCGGAGCTTGTGAAACTTATTCTAATGGTTTCAGGTATGAGTGCCATCAAAAAAATGGTTGTAAAGGTAATATAAAGTATGATGTCCGTTGTAGTTCCATAACAGAGCCGTTTCACCATGATCTGCATCCACATCCTATATATTGGACCTTGGGAGATACCAAACAATGCAAGGCTTGCGGCACAGACATACTTAAGCCTTTAAGTTGTATGGTATGCGAGTACGCTCTATGCATAAGGTGCGCTACTTTACCAAAAAAGGTAAAACATAGGTGTGATGATCACTTCCTTTCACTATGCCATGATTCTGGGAAATCGAGCGGTGACTTGTGGTGTGATATTTGTGAGACCAAGACAGATCCAAGAGTATGTTACTACACTTGTGATGAGTGTGGTGTCAGTCTCCATATAAATTGTGTACTTGGAGATTTATACTATACGAAGATAGGACTTGTCTATCCCAGTCTTGAAGTACTTCCCAACATTGATGTTACTCGACCTTTCTGCAACAACTGTAAAATTCGTTGCAAGTCCAACTTTCTTATGAAGAATACTCTAGGAGACTTTGTTCGTTACTTTTGTTCCATAGGTTGTATTCCTAAAAGAAGGCCGCTGTTGAATCGTCTTTCAATGACTGATGAAAAACGGGAATAAATGAGTATAATTGTGAGTTTTGATTTCAAATACTTGAGGTTTTAGTTTTTTTTTTTTTTTAATTGTAAGATATAAAGGATGTCAGTTACATTTCTTTTAAATATATATACTTCTTTCAGTTTTAGTTATCATATAAAAAACAAATTATTCAGCAAAATTGTTCTAGTTATCGGTTCAAATCTCTACTAGACACCTCTGTTCTAACATCATTGTGGTATCATAGCTCTGTTCTACCATTTATGTTCTAACATTTTGGTATCACAGCATAGTTTTCAGTCTATTTGATCTTGTTAACAAAAAAAAGGAGTGAGCCATGACAGTTATTGGAGCAAAGCAACAAATTTTAGTTCCGCCACTTAAAAGGTAGTATCATTTTTAGAGTCTTAAGATCAAGACGATGTTCGAATCTCAAGAGGTATAAGATTTAGTGAAAAATGGATTTAAACAGCATTTGAGGGATAATTATAGGAGAATCGCAAAAAGGATACAACTCATTATTTTTCATTCAATCAGTCTTGGACGAAGATATCTTATTACATAACATTGCGGTTAATACCCGCATGTTTCTTTCTTTTAATTCAACTCATGTTATTATTATCTAGGTCAATTTTGTAATTTATACAATTTGCATAAAAAGATGAAATATGGCTGTTTTAAAAATAAAAATTAAAAAATAGCATTTTCCAAAAGATATTCGAAAAATATGACTATATGGTGAAATTCCTCCAACATTTTAAAAACCGAACTATCTTCCAAATCACCGGATTATTGAGCCAACCGAGTTCGACCACGCGTTAATTAATTAAAATTTATTTAATATTTTTCCCCATTTTAGATTGCTTGTAATATACATGGGGGTTTCCGGTTTTTAGTTTATATTCAAACTGGAGAAGTGACCGGATCGTGGATTATCTGGTTGGTCCGGTCCGGGAGTGAAAACATAGATTATTCCGCTAAACACAAAAACACAACGAAAAACCCTAAACCCATTAGTCACTGACATCTGAAAATTTCAAAGTAAAAAAACGTCTCCGGCCGGTGTTTCTCCATCTCCGGCATCAATGGCCATGCTCTTGCACCGTCTCCGACGAGTTCTAGTCGCCGCGCCTTCCTACTTTCAAAGATCCTTCAGTCTATCTCGTCCCTCCGATTTCACTATTGTCTCATCGTTATTACCGCAAAGATCCGTGGTGAAGCAATCCTCGGAATTAAATCGATCTCCGGCGAGATTGTTCTCGACGACTCAGTATCAGTACGATCCTTACACCGGAGAAGATTCGTTCGCCCCTGATAACGAAGGATGCGATTTCAATCATTGGTTAATCACAATGAACTTCCCCAAAGATAATTTCCCGTCTAGAGATGAAATGATTTCGATTTTTGAGCAAACTTGTGCTAAAGGACTTGGTATAAGGTTCGTGTTTCTTGTAAATTTCAATCGAATTCATCAAATTCGTTTTCTTTTTTTCAGTTGATTCAATTTTAGAATTGATTCAGTTTGGAAGAAGCTAAGAAGAAGATTTATGCAATTTGCACAACGAGTTACCAAGGGTTTCAAGCAACAATGACAATAGGAGAAGTAGAAAAGTTTAGAGGTGATGATTGAGTGATATGTGAAAGCATTTGTTCCAATGGAAATTAGTAGATTTGTTGACATTTTTTTTTGTGGTGTTTATGAACAGATTTGCCTGGGGTTCAATACATAATTCCTGATTCTTATGTTGATGTTGAGAATAAGGTGTATGGAGGTATATATATGTTTCTTGTTGGTTTTGTGTAGTCTTATATCTTCAGTGTGGGGAAGATACGTTTTATTGAACTGTTTTGGTGTTTCGTTTTTAGGAGATAAATATGAGAATGGAGTGATAACTCCTGGGCCAGTTCCTGTCCCTACTAAAGAAGGCTTTGATTCTCTGGAGAAGGGACAAGAGAAAGCGCAGAGAAGTGAAACGACTCCAGATCAGGGTCAAACCTCAGGAGAAGAGCTAGCTCAAATTAATCAAAGGCCATCAGATCAGATGAGTTTCAAGCAAAGGCAAGAAACTTTGGCTCTTGAACAAGGGCAAGGTCAAGGAGCTCGAATGTTAACCCCAGGACAAGGGCAAGTGCAAGGTCAAGGAAGTCGAATACCAATTCCAGGACAAGGGCAAAGTCGAGGTCAAGGAAGTCGAATCCCTTCATCTCAAGGGAGTTTCAAGCAAAGCCAGGGAACTCTATCTGTGGGACAAGGGCAAGCTCAAAGAAGTGAATTGCCTTCACTCCAAGGAAGTATCAAGCAAAGCCAAGAAATACCAACCCATGGACAAGGTCACCAAAGTCAAATTCCTTCATTTCAGGGTAGTTTCAAGCAAGGCCAAGAAACCCCGACCCTAAGACAAGGACAAGCTCAAGGAAGTCAGATGCCTCCATTTCAAGGTGGTAACAACCAAATCCAGGGAACACGAATCCCTGCACAATGGCAAGGTCAAGGAAGTCAAATACCTTCCAATCAGGTGGGTTACAGCCAAGGTCAAGGAGCTCAGACACCTCCATACCAAGGATTACCAAACAATTACGGTCAAGGAGCAGCTGTGCACTACAGCAGAGGGCCACCACAAGGAAACTTTATCCAAGGAACGCAAGAAACTTACAACCAAGGGAATTACACTCCAGAAAATGGTGAAAACTATGCTCCTGCACAAGGAGTAGGAAGTCCAGGATTTGGAAATGGGAATCCTGGAAACGGGCAAGGTCAAGGAGGTCAGTTATTATCTCCATATCAAGGGAGTTACAACCAAGGCCATGGAAATCCAGTACCAGGACAAGGCCAAGAAGGTCAAATACCTTCATATCAGGTGGGTTACAGTCAAGGCTTGGGAGCTCCAGTGCCCCCATACCAAGTAACACCACGAAATTATGGTCAATGGGCATTTGTGAACTACAACCAAGGACCACCACAAGGTAACTTTCTCCAAGGGCCCCAACAAAATTACAACCAAGGAGGTCAATGGAATTACAGTCCACAAAACGGTGGACACTATGGCCCTGCACAGTTTGGACAGTGGTATCCTGGACCCCCTCAAGTTCAAGGAAATCAAATGCCTCAATATCAGCTTAGTTACAATCAAGGTCAAGCAACTCCATTCCCTGGACAATGTCGATGTCAAGGATGTGGAATGCCATTTTATCAGGGGAGTTACATTCAAGGACAAAGAACTCAAATTCCTGGACAATGGCAAGGTCAAGGATGTGCAATGCCGTCATATCAGGCTAGTTACAATCAAGTCCAGGGAGCACCAGCGCCTCCATACCATGGAAACTACAATCAAGCAACACCAGGCAGTTATAGTCAAGGGACATCTGCAGTGAAACCAGTGAATTATAATATGCAGAACGGTGGATACTATGGTCCTGCACATGGATCGGCAGGAAATCCAGGATTTGCACAAGGTGTTACTGGACACCGGCAGAATGAAACATTTCAACTAGATGATCAGAGAAATGTAGCAGGTGGGGAGTAGCAACAATCCTGCAAATCCCACTGAAACCAGAAAACCAAATTCTTGAGCATATTACACAACTTGCTCGTCTCATAGCTCATGATAACAGAAGTCTCCAGCTCTCACTTTCTGTATATATGTTAAATAGATGATTCATTTCTTTCCGTTTCTACTAGAAAAGAATAAAGGATCAGATTAGAGCAATGCAGGAATTGTGAAGCTTGCAGCTTCAAAGGAAAGTAGATTTTTGTTGTGGTAATATACCATTGAGCCAAATTTTGTCGGTTGAGTAGTATAATAAACTTCATTTTGAAAAATTAAGTTCACTTGTATAGTTTATATGTTCTTTTTGATGTGACCTGACTCAAACTTGTGAAGTTATTCTAGGTCAAAGTCAGCATGAAGTCTGATGCTTACTATTAGTAAAAAGTGAAAACCTTTTTGAGCTTTCACTTTGAAAGTGAGTGAAAAATGTAAAATTTCGTCGCATTGATAAGATTTTCTGCAATAGACTAAAGGGGTTTAAGAGTTATTTACTGACAAGGTAAATAGTAAAATACTAAAACCCTCAAGAGGTCCTAGCCAAAAGTTATCGTTATATAAGACTGGAGAAACAAAATCATGCGGCCTTTTTACATAGTGGGTGGCCAAAATCAGCGTAAGGCTGCGAGACAAACTAGGCCATGACAGGTCTTTCTTGGTTCTTCTCTAAAGGTGGTAACTCTGAAAGTGCCCAAGTCGGGGAACTACTTATCCACAGTGCTTCACCTGTCTCCTTATGCTTGAAGTCAGGGCCTTTCGGGTTTCTCTACACATGGTTCAAAATCATTATCAGGAAATTCAAAAATGAACATAAGAGTAGAAATGGAAAGAGAATAGTGTCTTCAAAGATTCAAAGATGATATATTACCTTGTCTACTCTGTTATCCCACCATTTACTCGGGTCCTCAACCAAGTTCTTCCAAGATTCTTCTTCTACATCTCACGAAAGCTGGTTTTAGAAAAGCGAGACAATTGCAAATGCCACATACCTGCCTAATACTTGCTAATAAAAGAAGAACTTACTTTTATGCAGCGAGACTGTATTGGACATGAGAGGTCTTTCTTGGTTTTTCTTTAGAGGTGGTAACTTCGAGAGTACCCAAATAGGAGAATCAGTCATCCACAGTGCTTCACCAGTCTCTTTATGCTTGAAGTCAGGAGCTTTCACATTTGTCTACAAATATGTTCAAACATTAGTGGGAAGCTGCTAAAGAAGATATATGAGGAGAGACCAGTGTCTTCACTCTTCAAGATAACCTGGAGAGCAATATTTTACCTTTTCTGATCTGTTGTCAAACCATTTATCTGGGTTCTGAACCAAATCCTTCCAAGATTCCTCTCCTATATCTCAGGGTAGCTCATTTTATAAAACGACATGGTAACAAAAATGCCAATATTTACCTTATACTTACTGAAAGGAGAATTTACCTTTAAGTTGTTTCAGTTTGATGTCTCCGTTAGGGACAAAGACATCAAACTCAAGCTCGTCGAGTTTTAGCAAAGCCCAATCAGGAACTGTGCTGAGCCACAGAGATAAACCACCAGCCTTCCTCTTGAAATCGGGATGTTTTGGCTTTACCTACACAAGGAGATATCGATAACCGAACGATTTATAGTCCAACATGTCAAGTAACATGACTGAGAGAAAAAATGAATTCGAACCAAAGTGAGTTTACCAATCCGTTAGCTTTATTCCCACGATGATCGAACCACTCTTTAGGATTTTCAATAAGGTGCTTCCATGAATTAGAGGTTTCTTCATCTATGACTTTTACATTTTTGGATCTTGCTAGAAAGATAAGATATAGTAAATCTCTTAACTCAAATGTATCTGTTAATTCAAATGTCGCAAATCCTTGTATACAAGAGATATTACCAATGGAATCACGTTGACTAGAGCACTATACAAAAAGATAGAAACATAACTCCTCAAAGACTTATTCATGATCTAGCAGAGCCACTAGTTGAAAAATACAAAATATTACAGAAAATTCAACAAACATGGGTACACACAACATAAATACATACCTGGCTGATTCTTGATGCTGGTTACTTCTTTTTCAGGTGGTGACTGCTGTTTCTTGATACTAGTTACATCTTCTTCGGTTGATGAGATCGTATTAACCGGAGAAGTTTCAGCTTGTACGAAGTTAAGATTATGAACCATAACCTGTTATGAACGAGCTTCATATATTATAAATGAATCCAAGAAACTATTCTCTATAATACTCATTCCATCAAACTCAATTCCTAAACAAGAAGTCACCTGAACATTGGATTGAGTATATGTCACATTGGGAGGAGGTGAATCAATGAACAGCTTCCCAGAAATATGAATTCGATCCTCTTTCTTTAAATGCTGAACTGCGATTCGAGCTAGATCACCTTCGAATATAATCGGAATCCTGAGAAAGTTTCAAACTTTGATTAACAACAGTTTCACTATAACACATTCATACTTCCAAAATCAAAAGTACCAGAAATTAGATGATTTTGAACCCGAACGCTGAGAAATCATAGTTCCAGCCCAGAATTTTCCATCGGAGCAAGGGCCGCTTTCAACAGGTTGTTCGACGAATCCAATTAAGTTGATCCAATTCGAAATCTCCGGCTTGTACTCAATCTTCTTCGGCGGAGTCAGTTCTTTCTCCGCCGTCCGCGGTGGTTTCACTGATGCCTTAGCCCGAGGTTTCTTTCCTCCATCTCCGACGATGGTGGCGGAGAAAACGCGGATTTGCTGCGAGATCACCCATTTTTGAGTGGGGAGCTTCGAATGGTAGAGTAAGGAAGAAGAAGAGACTACTCTTGTCAATGTTCTAGAGATTAAATTCATAGTTTCATACTAAATGGGAAAGAATCTGATTCCGTCTCCGAGTTCCGGTGAACTGTGTCGCCGGAGACTTTTCAAGGAGATGATGAGAGAATTCGTGGAGATAAGGAAAAAAAAAAGCCCTAATTCTTAGTAGGCCTTAACTTTAGATTAACAGGCCCAACTAATTATATTGGGCCGTGCTTCGTATATTGTATTATCGTTAGGATAAGTTATAAGATCATGTTTTTTTTTTTTTAGCATCCAACGGTGAATATGAAATTCGAAATTGTATAATTATGATGATCATCTCTCTTTGAAAATGAAGATTGTTTATTTTGTGTTTCCTTGTTCTACACTCTACACAATTTAAATATGAAAACCTAATTCATTTTTTGCCTTGACCAAGTCAAAACAGAGATTTTATAACTCACAGCTCAGTTTATTCAATTTTTTTAATACATACATGAGAGACGTATATAGATGTATATACGTTGAATACTCTTAAAACTTTTGTGTATATATATATGATTTCTACAAACCTTGCTACGCAAACAAAGAACAACAAAAGCGTATTATATTTTCTAAGACGTGTAGAGGAACCATGACGTATAACGTTTAACGTTTCAAATTGTAATATGGTTTAGGGTTTATATATTATTTACAAATTTTGTTAACTTGTCCTCTATCCGTACGGTTCAAGTATATAGAGTGGATGAGAAGATAACATCTTATATTGTGGTTAAAGATAAAAACAACTTAGAATAATTAACATCTAATTAAGTTTGATGATACGATGATACACTATGCTTTCTATGAAATGTGAAAGGACTCTAACAACAGTTGATTGATACACCAAGTTGACTTATTAAATTAGTCCGAGACTTTGACCATATGGAAGTTTGCTTGACCAAGTCGTAAGATTTGGTACGTACGAAGAGTTTTTTCATTTGTTAAAAACAAGAAAATGAATAGTTCTGAAACAGAGTTAAGAAACATAAAGAATTATGAAGAAATTATTGTGTAGTTTGGATTTAACTTTCTTAAGACTTATTTCATTTATCGTCACTTAAACCAGCTCCACTGGGTTTTCTTACTAGAGTGCTTATGTTTAATGTGAGCCAAAATTGAATGAAAAAGTATTGGGAAGGACCTAGTTGTAGAAGAATCGTTTCTTCTTATGGCGACTGAAGAAACAAATGAGCGACGGCACGTGGCAGTGTCTGATTGGCTGATAAAAAATGTAAAAAAAAAACATATTTTATATTTAATTTTAGGTATTTCACATGAGGTGCTCTACTAACATTAAAATTAAATAACATAAATCCAAGAGTTGACTTGTTTTTTTATTTCTTTATATATGAATAAAATGGAAACTTTTAAAATGTCAAAAGTATAACACATGCTTTATTTAAAGAATGGATAGTAATTAATACATGAAAAAACAAATATCACTTAATATCAATATTACCCTAATGTTTCTTATCATCATATATCATACATAATAATTTTATTATAATCTATTAAAAAAAAAAAAGAATCATATGTCGAGATCTCTCATCAAAAACTCCTCCACCATCACCGCGTCAGGGTAAAACTCTTCTAAATCCATTGTAATCACTCCACTAAAGCTACTCATGTTTTCCAAGTATTCCCTCATAATAAGATCATCATTATGATGATTATCATAATTATCATGAACATAATCATCACACGTCCCACCATAATTACCTTGATCATAGTCATCACTTAGTTGGCCAATCTCACACGACGACGCCGTTTGCTTACTCTCCCCATCATCAGCCACGTGCGTCTCAATGGCACAATCTTGATTTTGGATATGGCCGGAGCTAGGGAAAATGACTTGTTTAGTAACCGAAGCCGGCGACCTGAAGTCTAACGTCACCGGACGTCCTTTTCTCTCATTCGATACATCAATGCCGGAAGAACGTCCGGTGAACTTTTGAACTATGTCTCGGAAATTGCTAGGGTTTGCATTGAGGAGCGTCGTCCGAATATTTCTCCGAGACCGTCTTTTATCATGTTTTGGTGCATTGGAGTACACTTCAAAAAGAAACAAAGAAATAAAAAAATTTAAACTTTGAATAGGTCAAATATACATTTAGTAGGAAAAAAATGTAAATAACTTACAAAAAAATTGAGATGATTCTGATTCTGTAATCACGGTATTGTACATCTCGGCTTCGACAGTGTTAATAGAAGGATCATAGTGTAGTAGACACTGATCTATCCTAAAGTTAAGAATGTTATTATTCATGTTTCTTTTTTGGTGTGTTTATGTTTTGTGGTTTTGGTCGTGTGTTTAGCTTGCAAAGACGATAAAACTGATCAGTGCATGGTTCATTTATACGTGGAGAAGAGAGATCATGTCGTAGGCTTTGACTTGTACAATATAGTTTTAATAATTATTATTTGCATTAACATTTCTTACACTGATCAACATAAAGGCTTCTCTTGACCACATGTATATAGAATTCAAGAAACAAACCGCGTTCATCAATCCTATAAATTTCATTATCATCTATCATTTTTCTTTGCACATATATAGATCGGTTCATAAATCGTATATATCAATCACTTATAAGTTATAATATAGTGTGTAGATGAGTATATATTATCAAAATATTGCAAAATTCGAATATACGATCAAATCATTTAAACCAATCATATCAAGCTTTTTAGGACTTTTAGTCGTTACAATATCTTCAACACATGCATGCTATCTCTTGTACTTAAAAAAACAATCCTCTATATATATAACAAAATTTCGCAAATCGAATAAATAATGGGTGAGTTGGCATTATAGTACATTTTCATAAACTAATTAGGAATATAGTACAAATACTATTTATAATTTGTGAAATGGGTGTAAAACACTGTGCGTGAGATAAGAAGAGTGTGAGATAGAAAATGAGGTGGGGTAAGGCAGAATTTGGGTAAAGACAAAAATGGGTTCCCTCATCTCCCTCTCTCCAACTCTCGTTACTCTCAATTAGCTTTGTGTAGAAAAGAAAAATAATAAATTTTTACTTAATTATTTTTTTTTATTTTTTTATTACACACCCCTTCAGTTTATTAATTAAGATATTTGTCAATGTAATTTTCTTTTCTAATTTCTTTCACATGCAAAAATGTCTATGTTTTTTTCTCAATAGTTTGATATGCATTTTGTTAAATAATTTTAAAAACTGTATAATAGTCTAAATATATATAATTATATATGTACATACATTCTTATGTACATATATATATATATGTACGATTTAAGCTATATATATATATATATACAAATGTTTATGTTTAATAGTTTCAAATACATTGCATGCATATTTTATGCGTACAATTTATTACAGAGATGTTTATGGCTCGAAGTTTTAGTTTGATACAACTGTACACAAAAATATATGTACATTTGTATATCACTATGCATAAAGATGTCTGTACAGATATAAATCATTGTACAGAGGAAATCTATACAAATTAATATATGTATAAAAATAAAACTTTAAAATGACACATTTTGTGAAACGGGAGAGTATACATTTCATTCT